TAAATTTTTCAATTCCAAAAAATTGCAGTGTATTTGATACATACTAAGGCAAGTTGTCACCAAATTTGGAAGAAAAATTTTTTTTAAAAGATAAAAATAACAAATCAAAAAATAAGAAAATTCAAAAAAAGTTTTTGAGGTTATGTGAAAAAAGTGTAAATACAAAAGTTGTAGATCTTTTTGTTACCTACAACTTTGCTATTTAACTTTTTTCTATAGCACTTGTAGTTTCGCCGAAAATAGCGACAAACCGATTTTTACCCTTAACCCCCTTCCCCAAGCCCCAACCTCTGATGGAGTGTAATATATTTTTTCTTCCAATTTTAGCATATTCTCTTCGTTTTCCAATAGGTTTCATTCTATTATAATTTTTTTTTGGTTTCAAAAATTATCGACCCTGGTATATATGTTATAGACTTTTTTTAAAAACAATCTTACCAAACGTATGCCTTTTAACGCTCTAAATACAAGCTGTGTACATTTTTTTAGCTGTTTTGATAAGTTTTATATAGGTTTCTCTGTACTTAGTGATATTTTAACCCCTTAAACAACACCCCCCCCCCCCACATCCCGCCCTCGGATGAAGTGTAATTTATTTCTTCCATTTTTAGCATATTCTCTTCTTTTCCAATAGATTTTATTCTACTATATATATATATATATATATATATATATATATATATATATATATATATATATATATATTATTTTTTTACCTTTTTTAAAGTCTTCGATACTGGTCTAATAGGGGAAAATGTAGTTTTATTTTGTTATAAATAAACTAATGTATTTATAGCAAAACTAAAGCATCTTTGGGTTTTGGTAATGCGTTATTTAGGTGTTTCTATTCGATTTATATGGGATGAACAAAATTTGTACAATGGAAGCCGAGATAATACATTATTATTACGTACCTATACTGAGTTTGAACTTTGAAAATCAATTTTCTTCAAGCTTATTTTTTGGTATTCTTCACGCACAATACCGATCGTTTTTAGTGTTCTAATATATGTTATGGATATCTAAAAGATATTTACTATATATCAACAGAAATGCAACATGATATGCCAGAAGTTGTGACAAGAAGAGGTAAAAAGGTTTTTAAGCCGAACGCAATTGTCAGATACAATGACAATATGGGGGGTATAGATCGACAAGATCAAATGCTTGCCTATTACCCCTTTATAAAAAAGACGGTTAAATGGCCAAACAAAATTTTTTTTCTAGATCATACAAATGATGATGGTGAATTCAAATATTTGGTATAAAAATATACGGGAAGAAGAGTTGGGCTGTATGAATTTTGTTTGTATGTTATTAGAGATATGTTGTTTCCAAAATGGGGTTTCTAGCGTTGCATCATCTCTTCCAGAAAATCAAAATCACATTGTGGAGAAACGTGAATCATGAGAAAAAAGTGTAGAAAGTGTTACGAGTGTGGTGTACGCAAGGATACAATTTATGAATGTAATTATTGTCCAGACAAATCAGGCTTTTGTTTAGACTGTTGTACCATAACTTATATTTAAAAATGTTGAAAGATTTTGTAGTTTCCAATATTTTGCCTGAATTTTTATTTTGTTTTTTCTCTAAGTAATAAACACTTTTTGCATTAAACTTTTTTATTAATTTCCGTCTTTATTCAAAAACTATCACTTTTACTCTTACTGCATTTACAGACGCTCTACCGCGTCATGAAGCATTTTATGAGTGTATATTATTCTACAGTGCCCACGACGCGCTAGTGCGTCTGAGTTTTTCTTAATTTCAACAGTGGAAAATTTTATGTGTCGACGTATAATTAAATATTTTTTTATGTAATTCAACTGATATAATTGAGTTAACGAAAATTTTATATACTGGCATCACGTTGCTGCTTGGAAATATTAAAGAGGAGCTGAAAGTGTTACGAAAATAAAAAATAACAAAGTCCCAGGAGAGGATGGAATTTTAATAGAAGCTATCGTAAAAAGAGGAGATATACTATTAAATCAATTACGAAAACTGTTTGCAGGAAAATCTGATTGCAGTTTGCAAGAAAATCTGTTTGCAGCAAAGAGAGATGCCCAAAGAATGGAATAATGCTATTCTGTCGACTATATATGACTATAATAGAATAGTCTATTCTGTCTACCTCCTCACATCAATCAATGGTCGGGTTCTTACACCCGTACCATGACAAAATTTTTTTCAATTTTTTAACGTGTTTGTGAAGTCCAGTGTCGGCTTTTTATATGTTTTTTTATATGTTTTAAGAATTTCAACAACTAAAAAAATCATAATTTTGAAATTTAAGGAAATGAGATCTCTCCTTTGTAGTGGTATTTAAAAAATTGACCATAGCTCTGATTATGGCTTTGTAAAGCCGAAAGCGCTCAGCTAGGAATTGCCTAAAATATACACACTTCAAAAATACTTTTTTTGCATTTTCTTTCGAATTTTTAAAAGTTCTGCTTTTACCATTCCATCTTCGTAAGGCAGATAATTATTCCGCAGCCAGTCAAGAATATCCTGTCTCTTCCACGCAGTCGTTGGAAGTCTTTCTACTAGTCGTGAATGATAAGGTGCATTATCTAATACGATAATTGAATTTGGTGGTATGTGTTTAATCATCTGCTCAAAATACTCTTTGAAAACATCAGCTGTCATCTCCTCGTGATAGTCTTTTGTGCTTTTGGACTGAAATTCCAACAAACCATGCTTAACAAGTGCTTTTTCACTGCCAATGTGAGAAATTATTAATCTACTGTCTTTACCAGAAGGAGGGGAGATACCAGTAGACCAACCTTCCATAAAGGCTTGCCTGGAGCTTAATATATTTTTATCTGACCAAATTTGTTTTGGAGTATGACCTCAGTTTACCCACGTTTCATCCTGGTAGATGATTATCCTTCCTTCAGCCCGGAATTTTCGTATGGATCTTAGATCATTTTTTCTCCAACCTATTATCTCCTCCCGATTTTCGGTCTGATTTCTCTTTAATTACTTTAAAACTTGCCACAATTTAGTTCGTCCGATATGAGGCAAATTCGGGTCGTCTCTAACTTCTTGTAAAATTTTGTTTAGGTTTGGTATTTTTTTTTTGAAAAAAAAAAATCCATGAATTTTCCTTCTAATACCATTTTTGGCAAATTTTAAGTGTTCGTTTGTGTTTGGGTTGACTCCCCTACGCCAGTCATGTTGGCACAACTTTCGACTATGTTGCGAACAGTGTTTGTGGGATTCTGAGAAACCAGAGCATCGTGAACATTCAGGACAATAGTCTTCTCTCTTGGTGAATCGACAGATTAATGACTGTACGCAACAGTACCGGTGTAAAACTTGATGATGTTGATGATGAAGCCATCACAAATAATCCAACAGAACGAGCACGAGCGAAAGGTACGTATATGTTCGTAGGTATATGGAATAAAAAAATCACTCACTCACTGCATATAATTCGCAAAAGAAATATTCGAGACGCTAATTACTGCCGTAGACGCGGAAACACCGACGAGCCGTAAATTACATGCGATCAAAAACGTACTAAACAAAAAAAATGTTTTCGTTCAAAATAGCTTCACCCTTTTAAGTTAAGTTTCGAATATAAACTGAACAGACGAGGCACGTGACCAAAGTCGGCATCTTTATACCCATTATATTATTAAAAATCTGGGGAAATCCATCCTAATTATCTTGCAACGAATAGTATCTTTGATAGTGATTAAACGCGAAGATTAGTATTGAAATATCCAGAGATAGGGTATTATTCACAGCATTGTTAATGGTTAAATTCTTATTTTTATTAATATAATATAATAGCCAACATTAGCCGTGAAAGTTTTAATTGTTTTTTGCTAAATATATTAGTATTAGAACATTATTAATATTAATATTACTTTTAATGAATAAATACCTCAGGAACTCCTATGATGATACAAATTTTACGACCGTTTTATGACTTAGAGGCACATTTCGTGCTATCAACAATTTGTGAACGGATAATAGTAGAGGAAGACCACCTACACGTTAAGCTGATGACAGCAGGCGTATCACGAAAAATTGGCAACAAAAAGCGCACAATCGCAAAGAATGAAGGAGTTTAAGGGAGGCCTATGTCCAGCAGTGGACGTGATAAATGAAGGATGGATGATGATGAAATATTTTCTGAGTGAATAATTTTTAACCAGTCGTATCTTATAGAAAAATCAGTTATCGCTATTTTATTTCATTACGCCTTTGCTCCAAAACTAATCGTTTTAAAGCAAAGAATGAGAGAGAGAAAAAACCGATCTTTTTAGTATTTTTTTAGTAATATTTAAATTTTTTTATTAAAATTCTCGACCTATTTGAGTGGTAGGATAAGTCAATTATTATTACTGAAGTTATCACATAACTTTTTCTTCAATAATCAGAATGCCACCTCTTACATCCACCTCAAAACAGATCCGCACTGGTCTATTATGTTCCAAGTCAGTAAATTTGAAATATATCGATAAATCTGTCTAAAATAGTATATTACATAACGAGAGTTGTAAGAAGCTTATTACATGCGAGTAAATAAGTTGCGCGCGAGCCGCGTGGCGGCGAGCGCAGTAATTTTACAAGCATGTAATAAGCTTACAACTGAAGTTGTGTACTATACTTTTTCTACCATTATTTTCGTTTATAAAAATAAAAATTAAATTACCACTATATTTAATTCGTTTCCATGGTAACTCGACCAACTGACTTACAAGGCTTATGTGATATTACACATTTTTATAAAACTGAAGCGTAATTTTTTTTTTATTACGTGCTAGTCATTACGTGTCAGTATCTGTTATGATGCATTTACTTAGCATCCAAATAGTAGGTAATATACAATTTACTAGTAAGAGAGTAGAAAAACGATATTTACATTGTTGTTTCAAGTACTCATACTTCAAGAGAAAATTCGTTTTCAACAAAAATACCGAAAAGCTATTTACTTATTTTGTCTCTGTTTTCATCACAGTCGTGCTACTAGTTTCAAAATATACCTGTAAAATTCATTCCTGTGCTGCGTTAAAGCGTTCTCCATCTTTTGGGTCGGTAACGGAACTATATTTGGAGGAGAAAGTAAGTTATTTTGTATCGAAAACGTTGCGGGTTTTGGAATAGTTTGCTGGTCACAATCTATCCGGTGTGGAGAAGCATCTCGAGATCTGCAAAAAATAAAAAAAATTATAGTTAAATTAAGGTGAAAGTCATTCCTAAGTTTAATAATCTGGGTTTTATTATTTAACAGATACTGATTGCAGAAGCTTTTACATCTCTCTAAGCTTTTCTTTGTCCAGTAATCTTATTTAATAATCACAGTTGCAATAAAAAACCATATATATTTATCTCGGCATATATGTAAATGTTCGGAATTGTTTTATTTAAAAATCCTAAACGACCTAAAAAACATCTTTCCATGTCAAATTTAGGCAACTTACTGTTAGTATTTGCAGTATTCTCCAAGTTTAAAATATTTCCTTAAGTGAGTAACTCGTAAAATTATAAGTAAATAAGCAGAGTTTATGAAAGTATAAGTCGGACAGGAACTTCGTATATATATTTTTCGTCTTTATAGAGGGGGGACTCTGGAATCTTCAATAGACATCTCAGTTAGTGCAGGATTCGTTCTTCGTACTCCCGGCGATAGTTCCCGAGGTACTTTAAAATGCCCTCTCATCGCCGAGTCTACGCCGAACGCCTACCTGCTAAACCAGACCCTCCTCTGTCATCCAGCGATCCGGAAGCGGAATGGCCGCTGTAAGGCCGGCATCACTTCCGAAGCACTACCTTTATTCATTCATTCTCCATTCATACACATCCACACTCTATTCATCAGCAAGGAGGTTTCTTCCTCTTCCTTATTCTTGATCACTGCACGGATATAGCTGTGTATGTTAATCCAACCTAATTTATTTTCAATCATTCTCTCAATCATTTCTCTCACTGTAACAAAATTCACACCTGTCTCTCTCTCTCTCCATTCTGCTCCTTTCCACTATCCCTCTGCTGCAATCTAACATCGTATGTGTCACAGTATCCGAGTATCCACAGTATAGGCATTCATCTGTATCAGCCTTTCCGATCCTATAGAGGTAGGCCCTAAAACACCCGTGTCCTGTGAGCACCTGCGTCTGGAAATAATCCAGTCGTCTGTGGCCACAGTCCACCCAAGCTCTTATGTTCGGGATGAGCATTTTCGTCCACTGTGCCACTTCCTCCGTGTTGTTCCATTCTTCTTGCCATGTTACAACTGACCTTTCCCTTACCTGTCTTCTCTCAGCCACAGTAAGGTTTGGGCCTCTTCTCTCATAAAGCTCTTTTCTTTCCACCGTAAAAACATGCAACGGAACACATCCAGTGATGGTCCACAAGGCTACCGCAGACACAGTCCTGTAGGCGCATGCCACTCGCAACAAACTTGTTCTGTCTACTCGTTTCATAAGACTCCTATAGGCCGTTATCTCTACCGCCTCGCTCCAAACTGGTGCCGCGTAGAGGACGATAGACTGTACAACACCGTGTAAGACCCTCCTCCTTTCGGATTTGGGTCCTCCAATGTTCGGCATCACCCTCCCCAACGCAGCCGCACTATTCGCAGCCTTTCATACCACCTCCCGAACGTGCTCCCCCCATTTTCCATTCTGATGCAATGTCACTCCTAGATACTTTATTTGTTTCTTGGATGTTAGACATACTCCCGCACATTTTAATTCAACACCTTGACTGTTCCTTGTCCCCTTCAGAATGATGGATTCGGTTTTCTCTGTCGCAAGTTTTAGTCCGTGCTGCGTCATCCATTTCTTTACGACGTCACCCGATTTCCGAACCCGGTATTTGAGATCTGGCTCATCCCGGGCTACTACCAGTACAACGAGGTCATCCGCGAATGCGAAGGGGGTTGTACCCTCTCCGTATTCACAGTGCATAACCCCGTCATATGCCAGATTCCATAGCGTCGGTCCCAAGACAGATTCCTGGGGTACCCCGGCCGTCACGTCCACGATCGTGCCCTTTTTCACTATAATCCTTCTCTCGGACAGATACTCCGCCACAACATTCATCAGGTAACCAGGACGTTCTCTCTCCTCCATTGCCTTCATTACCTCGTTCCATTGCAGCGTACTGATTGCATTCTTAATATCAAACAACAGCAGGGCCGCCCAGCGATGTTCATTCCCTCTGTTGCGCAATGCTTCGAGTACACTCATGATTGCATCAATCGTGCTTTTGCCTTTACAAAAACCAAATTGCCTCCGAGATAAACCACCTGACCTCTCGATCATGTCGTCTATACGTACTCGCAGCATTCTTTCATATAGCTTACTAATGCATGGAAGAAGACAGATGGGGCGATACTTTTCCCTAGCTTTGGGAAGCAGTATTAACCTCGATGTCCTCCAAGGCTCAGGAAAGGTTTGTGCTTCCAGCAGTGCATTCATGTGTTCTAGAAGCTAGGCAGGCTCCACCCGTCCTAGACTCTTCACCGCCTCAGGTGGTATCTGATCCAGTCCGGGGGACTTACGAGTCTTCAGTGAACCCAATGCCTCGATAAGTTCATCCATGGTAAAGGGTACAGCCCGGTTAGCTTCTTCATCCCTCTATACACCGTCCATACATCCTCCATAAATCTGCCGTCCGGAAAGAGCTCTCTTGTTACCTCAAGCTTCTTGTCCATAGGCATTTCGTAAGGAGGATACGCATGGAACTTCTTCATGACGATCTTGTATCCCTGACCCCAGATGTCCTCATCCAGTTTTCACAGCTCTTTCCAGTGCCTTCTTTTTTCTGTACGAATTTTCCTGTACAGTTCCCTCTTCCTTGCGCGGTACTCTTCCTCGATCTCCTCGATGACCTCAGGATTGATTCCTGCTCTGCCTCTTGCTCTTGTTAACCTTCTTCTCATTGCTATACATACATTTCTTAGTGCCTCGATGTCCGCATTCCACCAATATGGCATCCTGTTGACATCTTGGCGGCCAATCTTACTTCCTTCCATCACTTGTTTAATGACACTCTCCAGGCTTTCCACCGTCGGTGATTGACCCTCCATTATGCTCACTCTCCATTTAATTAGCTCCTCGTATACTTTCCAGTCATTCCCATCGCCGCATCTGCCCCCAGACGTCCCGGATGCACGAACCGTGTTAGTGGTCCCCGTTCCAGTTATCGAGAACTCGATGTATTGATGTTCAGTTCCGGTGTAGTCTGGCAAAACCTTCCAGCCTCTTGCTTTCGCCGCTATTCCTTGTGTCGCTATAGTCACGTCGATGTACGTACCTTTACCTCTCCTAAGAAACGTAGGTTCCAGACCTGTGTTCAGAACCACTAGGTCTAGAGTACCCACCCAGTCAGTTAGTATCCGGCCGCGAGTATCGGTAATGGGAGATCCCCACTCCGCTGCTTTTGCGTTAAAATCTCCCAGCACCACGTATTCTCCTCCTGTGTTTCCCACTTCCTGCATGATCTCATCGATCTTCATCTCGTACTCGCCCACCGTCACGTTTGGAGAAATATAACAGCAAACCAGCCGCACCCCCTCCATCTGAACAATCACATATCCTACTTTCGGCTTAATTTCATACACTCGCAGCTTCCTATTGTAGATTCGTACAGCAGCCCTCCCGGTCGTATCTACAAACCATCCTCTTCTCTTCACCGCTGTTGGATTTGGTTCTGTCGTCACCAGTACATCGATGTTCTTTTCTACTGCGGCAGCCTCAGCAATATCATGTGCTAATCTTGCCGTTCCAACATTAGGGAGCACCCTCAGCTCTAGAGTCTTGTTTTCTTTGTTTGCCATTTCTAAACCTTCGACTTCTTTCGCGCTCTCTTTTACACTCTCGTACTCTTCTTGGGATTAGTCCTCAGTGATTCCTATTTTCAACCAGTTGGTTGAAAATAGGAATTCACAGACATTCACGTCGCAGTTGAGGCATCTGGTTGTTTCTTCCTTGCATTCCAGCGCTATGTGACCCTCTTTGCCACATCGGAAGCAAAATCCTCTTCTGTTCCGCCCCTTGCATTGCCATTGTTTGTGTCCAAAGGCAAGACATCTCAGGCATCTCGGTATTTCTACCCTTCATTTTATCACTCGGCAGGATGTGTAGTCTACTTTTATTCTTTTCATTTTCAAGATCTTTTCGGCAGCGTCTTCATCCACATCGATCACGGCACTCATTATCCCTCTTACTGCGCCTCGTGTCTCAGTCCAAATTTTTATAATGTCACAGGCTCGTTCTTTGCCAGCTGCTTCCTCAGTGGTCTTTTGGATCTCTTCGTTGTATTAGGTGGGATTTCCTGTACCAAGATTCTACTCTTCACGATGCCTCCTTTTGCAACTGCTCTCGATACGCATGTATTATCAGAGAGGAGTTTCTTCACTTCCTCCGCCATTTCCCGTCCTCCGACCAACTCCAGTGATATTCCTTGGTCTCTAGTCTGTCTGATCCTTTTAATGTCAATATCCTTTTTAAAAGAACTTGGGATATGAGGTGAAGTTATGCAATAGGCTCCTTAAAACATATTGTCATTGATAAAACAGTACAAATTGGATATCATAGAAATGTAGGGAACTAAGCAAAAGGGAAAATGTGAAACAGCGATTGAAAATTAAATATTGGCGAGAAAATACGATGCGATGGGTTCATAGTCAGTGATGAGTTCATAGCAAGTGTTAAGAGCCGTGGTGGAGTAGTTAGAGCCAATATTCCAAGGGATCTGTAGAGATAAAACTAGAAAACTAAGTTTAATTAATGTGCATGTTTTATCAGAGTATAAAGATGCAAATATAATGGTAATATTCAACTAATTATAATAAAATACCAAAATAATGCATTAAAATTTGTGACATATGCAAATCGGAAAAGAAGAAATTCTAAGAAAAACCACCCGTGGCAAAAGCTAATATCAGGGAAGCAATGAAAATTTGAAGATTTTGGTAAGTTTTGAGCAAAAAAATGATATGAGAATTATGTACACCTAGTTCGATCACAAAACAAATCACAAGCAAACACAAATTGCCCCAAACACGCTACTAAATCGATCATATTGTGGTAGATGTTTATTCTGATAACATATTAATGATTTCAAAATTAAAAGAGAGGCGTCCAAAGGTTGGAGTCATTTGTACGCAAAGTCTCGATGTAAGAAACCCAGCAAGACAAAA